GAGTTTCATTAAATGAAACTTGATATCGTGAAGCGTTAGGTTCGAAAACGATATAACGGGATCGTAAATTGTAGAAGCAAAGGCATGATACATTAAAGATTGATATTATATTGACTTTGTTGAATTGGAGAGATCTTTTCTTTAATTTTTCGATAACAAATATATACGTGAAAGTATACAGATCAGTTTATAGCAAAATTATTTATATCTAATTCTTTAACCAAAATTAAATCAAAATTTATTCAAGAATTAAATTAATGTTAACACAAAAATTAGATAAAGATATTTTCTTGACTAATTCCAAATTTAATTATAGATTTACAACTATTCGACAAACGTTGCTTGAAAATAACGAATTACAAATTTAAGCATTTATTCTAGATGCGATTTGTCAATAAAGTTTGCAGATCTGTATCAGGAAAAAACGGAAACACTTATTGGTATTCACTCACAAAATTGTAAAATGCATTTTGCATGTGCGGTGATATGATCCTGATTGCACTCACAATATTTGACGGTACATACTCGGCAGTGCGAAATCGTTAAATGCCAAATAAAGACGCGAAAATGACAGTGAGCAAGATCAAGAAAAAAGTGGAAAATAAAAAAAGGACACGGAGAGACGCGTGAATCGTATAGTCGAATCGAGGCTGTCTTCTCGAGGACGGTTAACAAGGTACTAACCGGTGATCAGATCGACTGGTCTCATCCGCGAGGAAGGACAGCGCCTCCGGACTCCTTTGCTTTTTTTTCGTTGATACCGGTTGTTGTCTTTTGCATATTTTTACTGTTATTCGCGATGTTTCAGTTATCTCCTTATTTCGACTAACTGTTGATCATCTTGTTACGGGAAGACTCCGTTTTGCAAAGACGTCGCGCGTAAGGAAGACGTGACGTTAATCTTCCTATAATTATGTTATGGCATTTACAGTTTCTTGGATACTGATTCAGAGCATTCGTTATACCGGAGAAAAAACAAGTCCAAATATAAGATAAGATTATTCTAATTAGGGCGTTATTTGATCGACATTTCCTAGATTGATCTACATAGTCTCTATCTATACAATCTTTGATTATTGACAACCTGATAACTTTGTATTAATCCGGTTATCGTGAAGTTGGACTTTTTATATTTATGTATTCAAGTTCAATGACTTCTAGAAAATTTTGTAGTTAAATTCTTTTTGCATATCGCGTAAAATTTTGCGATGATACGATTTTATACAACTTCCGTTTTAATAAAATGAAAAAAGTTAATGTAAAATTTTACATTAACTTTTTCTTTTAGGTAACAATCTTTTGTATATAATATCACAATACTTACAAGTTTTTATAATTTGCTTTCAATAATAAATTTTTACAAATTGCTTTTAATCTTTCTTACATTTATTTCTTAAACTACTGTTCTATTATAATAATTTGATTTAATAAAATTTGAAAATTTATTCGTAATTCATAATACGTAATATATACGTGTGACTGATGTGCGCGCGCGCACGCGCGCGTGTATGTGTTATACAAGATATGTCTACATCCTAAAATATTTTATTAATTAGTTATGACAAAAGTAGGTACAATAAAAAAGTTTTAACAACGATAAAAAAACATTTTCTACCACCGCAAAAAAGATGATAAATTTAAAAGTATGTCGATGTCAAACTTTCATTGACACACACATAGGCGGACAACACCATTGAAATAAAAAATTAGGTAAAATTATTTTTACATTATATTTTTACATTATATTTTTATTATAACTTTTTAATAACTTAAGGACCTACATTTATATAATATTTTTTTTATTTTAACTTATAGAACATATCGTTAATATTAGTATGAAGAAACCTGAAATACCGTATACACATACACTTTTTTAATTTAGTGATTTAATTTTTTAAATGTCTGTTTTCAATTGAGGTAAATCTATTAAAGTTGAACTTTAAGTTTTAATTTTGAAAGAAAAATTTAATTTTGTTTGTTAAATTTAATTTTTGCTTATTTTTTATTCCTTGTTAATTTATTCCTTGAACACAATCAATTACTAGAATACTAAATGCCTATTACGATCGAAGCTGGAACTTCATTGCTTTAAATAATTCAATTTTTGAATTACTAATATACCCTATATATGTACTTGCATATATACCATATTGTAGTCTTTTTAAAACTGTGTGTGTATGTGTGTGTGTGTGTGTGTGTGTGCGCCGAATTGTTTTTCCGGACTATAAATGCAATTAAAACTACTCTAGTAATTGCGAATTAAATTGACAAACAATTTAATAATTTAATGCTATCATCAAGCATCATATTATAAAAATGTCAATATGTTGAAACTATTAATAAATTTATTGCGAAAAGATTACAATATGGTATATATGCGAGTGAATATATAGTATATAATAGGGTATATTAATAATTCAAAATTGAACTATTTAAAAAGCAATGAAGATCCAGTTTCGATTGTAATAGACATTTTTCTAATATTGATTGTGTTTTTGTGACATATGAGGTCTAAGATAAAAATTCTTAATATTGTTTATTCAATTTAATCAAGATAACAACAGATAAACAAATCAAGATAAACAGATTTTGAACACATTTACTTTTTACACATTTTTTTGTAGTGTGGTTAAATTGAAATACGTAGAAAGCGTCTAAATAATTCTTGATTAATTATTTAAATTAGGAGAGTCAGCTCTGATGACCTTGTCATCTGATGATATATGTTGTCAAGGTCATGACCCTGAGTGACTTCCAAAAAGTTTTAACTGTTGCTTGTTATTATTTAAAAAGTTTTTTAACAATGAAGATGGTAATTATCTCCCTGCTTTACATAAAAAGTTAAATGATTTTAAGCAGGGTGAGGGGAAGTGGAGTGGACCTCATTTCGGGTAGAAAATCGTGCGTCCTAGGCAGGAAGAGAGATGGAATAGATCACCCTTTGCATGGAAAGTTGTACGCCCTTAAGCTCGATCTACATAAGACGCGGGTCACAGATCGCAAAACTACAAACCTAACTTATTTTAATTATGATATGATTACGATGCGCAGGACACAGAAAGTTAGATGAACTTCAACTTTCGCGTCCTGGGTCTTGTGTCCTACGTATTGCGGTCTGCGACCTATTACAACCTATACGACCTACGTTCTGCGTCTTATATAAATCGGGCTTTAGACCGAGAGTGAGGTGAAGTAGACTTCGCTTCGCGCAGAAAGTCGTACGCCCTTAGGCACGGAAATGGGGTAAACTTCCCTTCGCGTGGAAAGTTACACCCTTAGACAGTGGAAAAGGTGTGAAAAGTTATTACGTAAATAGGAAAAGCTGTGAACACGGAGTAAAAAAAAAGAGATCAAACTCAAGCGGCCGGTCTCAAAAAAATGGGTTCAAAATGCGGTGTCAGTAAAGTACTATATGGAAAAACAAATTCGAGCGCTCCTATCGAAGAAAACTGTAAACTTAGAGGATTTGATAAATGTTTTTCTTCCTATTTTCCTGTAATTCTGTTAATTTGTGTATTTTCATGCGCAAAATATTCTAAGCAGGAAAGTCCCGTTGTTCAAGTCCCGTTTTTCTTCTTTTTAATTTTCAAGTTTTTTGATGTCGATAAGTTAAAAAACGATAATTTAATGATAATTTATGACTATGCATAAATGTATGTATTTTTCGATAAATATTAATGCATTTACTATTTAATAAAATAAAATAAAATTTTATACAAATTGAAATTTCTGTATTAAAAATAAAACATGCATACATGTATATTCTGTACGCGTTGTCATATGATATATTCCAACTTTTCCTGCAACGGCACTAAAATCACATCATTCCGATTTTCTATGGGTTTTCCGATACCGTCGAGTCCATTTTTATCCTCGAGTTTGGTCTCCTTTTTTTTTACTCCGTGGGTGTGAGATAATTCTGAATAAATATTGTATTTGGCAGAAATATAACATTATTTTTTCAATGTTTTTTTCAATTTTTTTATTAATAACTTTTTGTGTATAATAAAATGAATAACGAGCGACGGCTGAAACCTGTTGGAAGTCACTCAGGGTAATGACATTAACATAAGATAATCTGAGCTGACTCCCCTAATCTAAACAATTCTTAAACAAGTGGAAAAAATGAAACTTATTATAGATTTATGTTTGCTTAGCTGACTCCCTTAATGAAAAAATTATGTAATAATGAGCTATTTATGCGCTATTCATATCCACAAACAAAAATTTTTGCGCTCATTCCGTTTAGCTAAAAAAAAAATTGTTGAGGGCGGGGGGCTGAATAGGCAATCAATCAACTCCCCCCCCCCTCCCTGTTAAAAACAATTGATTTGGAAAATTAAATACACAGGATTTATGCGCTATTTATGTTATTATTTTCAAGCATTTTGGATTTTTGCGCTACAACCCTTAAGGCACTTCCTTTTTGAAGCGAACAGCCATATTCACCCCTAAGTCAGTTAAAATTGCAAAATTAAATACTCTGACTATAAAAATTGTGAAAATAATACTTATCCAATCGAAATTTATTTTTGATTTATGCGCTATGAATTCCAAATGAATATGGCTATTCGCTCCAAGACAATTTTTCACAAATTATAAATATTAATGTTTGCTCCAAGAGGGAAGTGCCTTAAGAGTTGCAGCAAAAAAATCGAAAAAGCGTAGAAATAGTAGCGCATAAATAGCGCATAAATCTCATGTATTTAATTTTCCAAATCGAATGTTTTTAATGAGTAGGAAGGCTGACTGCCTACTCAGCCCCCAAAAATTTTTTTTTTTAGCTAAACGGAATAAGCGCAAAAATTTTTGTTTGCAGATATGAATAACGCATAAATAACGCATTATTACATAATTTTTTCATTAAGATTTGGTTAAGTGGAGGGGGGGGGGCAATTAGGCACGTTATAGACTTATCCTGTTGAGGAGAAATATGTATGTATCACGATGTCACATATTTTACAATAATTAATGTAAAATTAATTACGGTTATTAATTACCTCGTCAGTGTCTGGCCGCTTTCTCCTGCGCTTGCAAGCTCGCTATTGCTTTGCCTGTACCATATAACACTTTTGCGCGAATCTGAACTCTCCTTGTGGTTGCACAGGTTACCCCAGACGTAGACGACGAACTTCCGGTATTGCCACCGGCAGTCGTGCCTAACTGCAAAGTACCACTCGTATAATTCGCGCCTCTGCAACTCGTACAACCCTCTGACATTATGCTGCTGATATTTTGGCGCTATTGTCGAGTATTTTTCCTGAACAAACAGCAATCAGCATCTTGAACAATCTCGCAATAATTGTAAATATAATGGGAAGCAATATTAATACGAAGAATTTAAAAAATTATATCGTAGTTTTAGAAACTGATTTCAATCACGATTGTAAATATAACTCGGATGAGTATAAGTCTTATAGTCTTATTATTTTAATTTAATGTTGAACTGTTATACAACTATGTTATTTAATTCAAATCAATTTTAAATTATACCTTTAATACTTATTTTTTATTTAATTTTATGTTAATTTACGGTTAGAACTATTAACATTTATTTTTAATAACATATTATTTTTTTAATATATTATTTTTCTGATCTTAATGGCTGTTCTACATTCGTTTGCAATCGAATTCTTATAACGAATTTGTATAATATTTTAAATACATTAATGATGAATATATTGTAACAAATTAAAATAGTTATTAGAATGTTCTATCTTTGAATAAATTATATGATAATTTATCTAATAAGTAAATGAAAGAATAAGAGTAAAAAAAGAAAAGAAAAAGAGAGTGATTGAAATTTCACGAAAAATGGAACATCTTCTTATTCATGAAATTTATTAATCAGAGAGCATCGGTTTTATGTTGAAAAAAGTATTAGGCGTGTGCAAAGAGAAGTGCAGGAGTCAAGGATTAAATAGCAGTATCAAAGAAAAGCATGAAGCATATTTGATGACTATAAGCGTTGCATATCATGTTGCAACATCGCTGGACATGACATCAGTATTAGTTTATGTATTAAGTGCCGCGTCATGAATGTGTATATGTATTCAAGCAATTTTCCTGCATAAAGATCATGCATTTTCACGTCATCTCAATTGTATCCACTAACTTGTATTAAGTCTTTTACTACGTTTTGTAAAAATTTTAAATTTAAATTAATGTCTGTCTTCTTTGATTATTAATTGATGCCAATAATTCAATCAACAACGATATAATGTCGCGACTTAAAGAGATAGAACACTTTGACCATTTTCAAAAATGAAGATTTTAAGGGCTTGGAAAAAGTGTAAATGTGACATATTTATAATTTTTCTACTTTATTCATACACATATATTGTATTTGTTATGTTTATTTATATGCAAATTTTATTAAAAAATATTAATTATGCGATGGAATACGGCGATCCGCGTAAAATATGATTTTATGTGCGCTAGTAAACAATGTACATGATTCCGCTATTTTTGTTATCTTGGAATAAAATCATTAAAAAGTTTTAAGCCTCAACATAAAGATGGCATTACTCGTCAAAATCATTCTGATACTATTATACAATCGTACATGTTTTGCAAAATACCTACCTTAATTGTTTGAGAATCATTTGTGCTAATCGATGTTAGTCATGTTTTTGTTTGATGAAAATCTGTGTCCTTCAAGCCTAATTTTGAGCCTAGGAAACAGGAAAAAATCGAAGATCAGATCTAGGAGTCAATCATGTATTTTTACGTGAAACTTTCCACATTTCATTTTTTACTTTTCACTTTTCATTTTTCACTCATCGAGATTTCACCTGAAACTTTTCATGTATAGCGACATATGCGATATTGCACGACTGAGCAATCCATATAATCTATAACTTATAACAACAGAAAGAAATAATAATGAACGTGACTGTGAAACAAAAAGAAATGTTATTATATTATTTAAAACGCAATCCCGAATTAGTGAGGGATAGAATAGACAGAAGAAACGAGAGTCGATTAAAATTGGTAAATTTAAAGTATTTTATTGTATAATATATTATAGTAATTGCTGAGAAATAAATAATTATTGGACAAAATATAACATTTTTAGTTTCATTTTTAGTCAAAATATAACATTTTTTTTAGTCATTTTTAATTTAATTGTATGTATGTGTGTATATATGTAATAATAATTTTGTAATATATACATATATATTATTATAATATTATTATAATATATTATAATATAATATATTAAAATATAACATATTATTATAATATTTACATATATATAACCTCTTTTCAGTCAATGTGATATTACTTCTTCTTCAATTATTAATGGCATCTGCCTTGAGATAAATTGTCGGAGGATAAGACATGTTAGTTCCGAGTATCAATTCCCTAGATTTCCGCCTTTCCGCCACCACGGTCCTTCACGTGAACAATTTCACATTTTCACAGTTGGAAAAGTTACATGATCCCTCGAAATCATAGATGATCATAGAGTTCACGTGAAATTTTTCACTTTTCGCTTTTCCGTTCTAGGGGAAAAGTTATATGGTTGACTCCCTGATGAATACGGTGGGTAGTTAACTAATTCGAACCGCAATTCGTAAATTTTTGTTTGGCGATCGTCGATATTCGATTTTTTCTATTTTTACAAAAACTCTGACGTCGACTGACACAAATGACTGTCTAAAAACTGAGCGTCCACAATGGCTACAATTTTTATAGGTATCTTGCAAAACATGTACGATTGTAGTATCAGAATAACTTTGACGAATAATGCCATCTTCATGTTGAAGTTCAAAACTTTTCAAACGATCCTCGTACTTTCAATCAACTATAAATTAGTACAAATTAAATTTTATTCATTTTTGCCCTTGTGTTGTTTTTCTTATGGTTACCTGTTTAAATACATATTAAACTAGCGGCGCCACTATATTTTCTTGGGAACACATAATATAGAATTGTTTTTGATAGTACAAATTAATACAAATTCAATACTATTGATTTCTGATACTATTTTTCCTTTTTTCTTTTATTTTGAATTAGTCTTGCCACACAGAGAGAAAAAAATGGTTTCATATAATTTAATTATAATTTACAGATTCATTTTTTGAGTCAACTATAAATATAATTATTATTTATTATTATTTATAATTGTTTTAAATATGCCCATTATAGCTGTTTCAACATTGAAGTATGATCATTACAACTATGACATGCATTAAATTTTCCTTACCATGCGAACAATTTTTCCTGACAATCATACCTTTTAGTTATTATTACCATATAAATAGTTAGCAAATGTTAAGAAAATAATTATATTCACTATAATGACGGTTGCATTTATTACACAAAAATGATTATTTTTATCTACCATTCGTATATAATATTTACTATATTAATAATTCGGATTATCATAATTTATAGTACAATTTTCCATATTTGAAAGAACTATAAATATAAGTTTATTATTGCCAATTTAGCAATAATAATCATAAAAATGGACCTTGTAATCTCATAATTTTTTAATTATGCATTTTTTTATATGCAATTATAATCACAAATACCAAATACTTTTCTCGCTATGCAATTTAATGTTAAGCTAGCAGCGCATAATTTTTTAAAAAATAACATACTGTACAAAATTATCATTAATGGTACAATTTAGTACAAAATAAGTACTAAAAATTCCGATGGATCTGATTTGGTTCTGCTAATTTTATAAAGCTTACACCTTATTATTGTAGTGCCATGATTGACTTTTCAGAGATTCTTTATAATTAAACTTTTGAATAATTTTGAATTAATTGCAAATTTTTTTAACTATGAGATTATTAATTATAAATGATAGGTATTAATTATATTATATCGAGTAGCATTATGCAACTGAACGATGTAATTTCTTTGCTACGCAATCGTAGGCATCTCGACCGTCTATTATAATGTGCAGCTATGATTTGCGTGCCGTTCAGGGAAAATCTTGATTAATTATACTAATTGCAATATATAGTGAGTTTTTTCCACCTTACCGGAAAAAGGCAAAGCTCCGGCAAAACTTGTTGTTTGATTTGTTTGTGAAAAGTGAATTTTGTGAGGAAACATAGCTCAATACAAAACAGATACAAATACGAAAATGAAATTAATAAAATTATGTTTCCTACAGATAATAGGGTATGCGTCTAGAGAAACGATTTTCCTTTATTGCAAACTTCTTTTCAAACTGGATATAAAAAAATTAGTCACTAATTTTTATTAAAGCTTTTGAAGATTTAATAACAAAAAAGCAAATGTTTTTTAAAAGATTATTTATTATTAACATTTAATATAAATTAAGAACATATTTAACTTTGTTTTATGTATGTAATTCCAATTGTATTCTAAATTGACATATCACAAATCAAAATGCAAATTACGCTCTTACTAATCTCTCTCATCGATTATTGTAAACTTACTCGTACCGATTGGGTTCCTTTAAGATGAATTGAACGACTTCAGACTTTGTCATACACTGTCCCGAACTATATCACGAAACATTCTCCCTGATCTAATTTTGCTTTCCAGCAGCAGATTTACAAAGTTCGACCAATCCTTTCGAGATGGTCACCAATTCGAAAAAACGTGCAATTTTTTGTGGGATTCCCCGACGTCTCTATCAGAGAATAGAGATGAGCGTTCAAAATTGACGACAAAGAACGTTGTATGCTCGCGTCCACGGTGCGAAGGCGCCGAAGGAACTGATCGACCGTGTTCCAAATAGCCGCTTGGTAGGCTTCACCGAACACTCGTCTCTTTTCTTCTTCTTCCTGTGTGTTGTATCGGCTGTTTGTCGGTATCCTCACTGTCGTTAGAGTTGTCCTCTCCATTACTGTTGTCCATGTCCTCATCTGAAGCGAAGATGATAGGGATCCAGACCAAAATTCGGATAATTAGTGGAACTTTGCAATTATTGAAGCCACGAGCACCGTTCATAAATTGTAATACCAAATGAATTAGAATTAAATTAGAAAGTAAACGAAAATAAATCGATTTATCCGATTCTTAAATTTTTAAAAATATTACACATTTTTATCGCAGAAAGAAAGAAAACTTTAATTCATTTGATTTAATTGCCATTTGATATATTATGAAAATTATAAAATTTTTTAATAGTAATCTTAGAATTTCTATTAATCGCATATATTTACGAATCTGCTCAACGAAAAATTCACGTATTTAAAATTTCATTCTCGGCTATTCAGTCTTGACTCCTTAGCGCGGCTATGACTCACAATCGTGAAGTCCGCGTTACAAAGAGGGAGAACGAAGAAGGACGAGGGAGCCAGTGGACGTAAAGAGAAAGATCGAAGAGGAGAGGTATGCATTGCGTAGCGTGCATACGGTAGAAGCTCAACTCGTCTCGATACGTAATAACCTTTGATTGATAAAAATTTGACCAGCATAATTCTTTCACAACATGGTTGTGCACATGCATATGTGCGGCTGAGAGATCCGTGTAAAGCACTGCCCGACACTAGTCGGGCAGTGCGGTTCTATAGAAAGAAGGGGCACGGTCACCGCCGAATGCGTTTCTGGGTCTCTCTGCGGGCCTTGCGGCCACGTGACGCCGAAGAGTACGCAGCTCACGATAGAAATGTAGGATACCGCCGGACTTAGAGAACGCAGTGAGTAAATAATTTCTTATTTACTTATCGTGTCCCATCTAAGAACGGATATTTTTAGAAGAAGAGAAAAGAAAGAAAAGAAGAAGAGAATTAGAAGAAAAACTTCACCCATATCTTCTAGATTCTTTTTTTATTCTTCTCTTCCTTACAAGATTTATTTCTGTAGGGCAGATCCTCGCAATGCCGTCACTGTACAATGACAGCACATGTAAAAATAATGTACTAAATTGCTATGCTCACGTCATGTTATACATTTAATATTTAGAATATGCCAAAGATTCTCTTGAAGACATACAAATATCCTTCTCAGGATATTAATCACTTCTTCAGTTTTGATACCTCTAATAATAAGCAACCAAACGAACACGACATCTTTGAAATTGGTTTCTGCAGGAGTTTGAAGATATAAAACTGTTTAATTTTAAATACTTCTATTATTATCTACAAAATAGAATACAATTGCTAAGTGTTCGAGAGAAGCTCAAGGTGAGCGAAATTATTTCTTACCTTTCTGCTTTAAATAAAGAAATGACTTATAAATAAAACGTATAATCTATCATTTTATTCATCTTTATTTATAACTACGTACTGTACTTTATACTTCGCAGTATTCGCAGAGCTGGGTATAACGTCGACTATTGTGTCAGTAAACTGCTCTTACAGCCGTCACGCGGAACAAGTTGACGTAATAATTTGATTGATACTCGCGTGACTTGTTGCATATTCAGCCGCGTGCTGTTATCGGACTCGTTGCAATCAAAATTGCCATCAATGAAATTACAAATCTGTGTTTCGCAAATCTGTGCACAGCGTTGCATCAGAATGTGTCGATAAACGTGCATCGTTCTGCGATTCACACAAAAGAATTGAAAGCTGCAAAATTAAAGAGAAAGAGAAATTTGGAATAAGTAAACTTATTAATTTTGGTCATTTGACAGATCGTCAATTTAATATTAATTTATTAATTGAGTTAGTTATACTTATATATCGAATTATTTATTATTGCTTGATATCAACACAGTAATTAAATTGATTATTAATCTCAATTTAATCATATGAGAAGTAGAAACTCTCACTCTACAGTTCTTTGCTAAAACTAATGTCTTTGGGGGTAAATTACTATTTAATTTAATAGTTATAGCTATTAAATTATGTATATATTTATATCAGTTGGTAAAAAAATATGTTTTAAACATGTTTTAAACATGTTTAAACATACTTAATTGATGGTTTTAATATGTTTTGAATACGTTTTTTTATAATATTGTTTCAAGCATATTTAAAGCATTAAAAACATTTAAGAAAAAACACGATACGTTTTATTCTTAAGAAAAAAACATTAGTCTTTATCTATATAATCCCGATTTATATGTATGTATATGTATGTATTCATATGTGAGTATTTATATTTAATAATTACAATTAATAAAATAATATTAATAATGTCGTATTTGTGGCAATAATTATATTTTAAATTTTTAATGGTTCTCAAAACAATTCTCGTTCTCATAACTATAAAATTATTATAGTAAATTTTGAAATTTCAAAGATATATTATCGTTTGTAAAACTATTTTGCTTTTTTTGAGTGTACATTCTTCGGCCAGGGAACCTTGAATATGAAATGCGTGTTATATTGATCATTATCTACTTCTTGGTAAAAAAAGATAATAAAAAATACCGTTATTAATGGTGAAGCATTTTTCTTTCGTGACGCCGTGCAATTAAATACCGAAGCGAGCTAACTCTGCGCTGACCGTGTAACGTCGTGCTATCAGCTAGTAGGTCAGTCAACAACGAGGTCAGTCGAGGGCGAATCCGGACTACGGGTCAGCCAATCACGTACGGTTTGCCCGACAATGAGTATTAACTGTATACGTATAGCACACACCCGCAACACAGTTAAATTCATGCCGCAGTGGCGTAAAACGCCAGCCGACTAAAAGTAAGGTAGATGTATCAGTTAGCAGACAATTAATAGATATGACCCAATTTGTTGGACAAAATAATACAAAATGTTAAATATTAAACTTTTAATGATATACGAATCTAAATAAAATTTTTTATAAAAATTTAATAACAAATTTATTTAAAGTATATCATATATATCGTATATATCATTAAAAATTTAATATTTGAAATTTTATTACTTTGTTCAAATAATTAGTTTATATTCACCAATTGGTACATTTAGCTCAAGTCTCTTACAATTGGTGCAAATTCTTTTTCTGAGAGGTTTCTTTTCAAATGTTTCGCACACCCTAGTCTCCAGTAACACATCGTCTACAATAGAGAAATAAGTTTTAAATCATAGAAAATTGGCAAATCAGTCGATCATTCTTCTCACATACGATGGTGATTTATCAGTTTTTTACGGCTTAAAGCTTATTTCTCGATCTATTGTAGACGACACATAAATAGACAGATCAGACCAAATTTTGCGCCGATATGACAGCTCTGCTGATGTAATTAACGGCGGCCAAGTAAAACTATTAACAATTATTATCCTTAACAATTATTATCCTTAACTATTATACGTAAAAAACAATCGATGATTTAAATTACTATGATTTTCTCTCGTTCCTTCTCGATGTTCTTCTATAGTTTTCATTCCGCAAATAGACTCAACTTATGTTTAAACTGACATCGTTTGTAAAAATGTACAATAATAGAGGAAACTCATTTGCGGTGCATTTGTTAGAGCAAAATATAGGATCGTGCCTAGGGTGGGGGATAAGTAAGGAGTAAGTGGTATGATTCTCGCAGTAAAACAAGAAACAAGACAGAAGTAGGTCAGCAGGACTATCGGTCATGAGGGTCCGGGTTCTTGTCTCATTCACGTATTTGATTCGCCGGAGATGATAATGTTGAAATTGGATAGTATCTGTCAGATACAGATTATTCTACAAGAGATAAGAATCGGCATTGTGGCGGTATATGAAAAAAATTCAGTATATCTTTATATTTATTTATAAAAAAAATTATAGTTTGTTAAATAATTATTACGTATATACGAAAAGAAACGGCACCAATCCCATAAGAAATTAATCTTCGGTGAAATTAGTTTTTTTCATATATTGTATGTAACTTATGATAGACTACATAAAATATGTAAGAGTTAAAATAAAATAGAACAAATAAAATATAATAGAATAAGTGAACAATTTTCGTATTCGATCATAATTATGTGTGGGATACAATTATATATAGTGACATCATGTCACTACGTGTGACCATGTAGAAATATAAAAAGTTCCGAGATAGCAAAATATCTTGAATACTGTAAGTTTGATAAAAAAGAAACATGTTAGATGAAAAAATGTAAGATTTTTGAAAGGATCTAGTCACCAGATTTTTCAGTTTGACTTTAGATAGAATTAATTAATCAAAATCCGGATATTGAACAAAAAAATGCACAATTTTGAACACAAGAATAAAAAATTAAGATTCGTTCAATTCAAAATACAATAAATAGACAAAATCAAGGCAATAGGAATCTGCGCTGTAATTTGTGTGTTAACATTGTTACAAATATATGAATATAAAAGAAACGGCATTAATTTGAATATGGACACGAAATTACTTAACTAAGCGTACCACTGTTATTTGGATTCGTAATATTATTTATGTATATGACATTATATGTACCGGATTCGGTCATATATGTTAAAACTTTTACCATTAGTTCACATAATAAATAATAATTGTAAGACTCAGAGCTGATCCTATCATTTATAATAATCTCATTATGTTATGTTGGAGGATTTTTATAGTTTATTTAGATGTATTTTTTAAATGACCTCATTCATCGACACTACTCAGATTAGTTGTTGCGATTTTGTTTCATCCCGAATAGTTTTAAATAATTACTTTAGATAATTACTTATACAGTTTGCGAATTGGTTTGAGATAAGCTTCTTCTGCCTGATAATTGCGAGAAGAAATTAGCGGACGGTTACGATATACTACCATCTATGACTAGAATAGATCTCTACAACGCTGAAGAAGGTTAGAAGTTAACTGAAACGTATGTCTCGTTTTCCGTTTTATTTATCTCGTTCTTTTAGTAGACAATATATTATTAATTTTATTATTTGACCTAACATCTTTTATATTTATATATTTGTATCAATTGTTAGTGCACAAACACGGGTGGATATCTGTCCTGGCGCTCCGAGTATCTCAATATAGAACCCTGTCGAGAAAATCAGTGGCGTGCCTGTATTGCAAAATTAGACGGGGGTTTTCTAGTACTCTGTGTAGGAGCACATAGAATTTTCCGAGGTTGCTTAGATAGAAAATCTAGAAGGGGAATATCCAGCATCAGGTTTATAGACGGGATAAAAATAATTGAAAATCTTTATCTGCTCGTAGCCCTGGTGTTAAATAATTCCTGTCTAGCTTTTCTACCTAGACGACCACGCAAAATTGTATACAGTTCCTAGGTAGGGTACTAGATAGTCCCTGACTAGATTGCTAATAGATTTATTTAAAAACAAACAAAATTCTATTTATTAGAGCTATTTATTTTTTTTTTATTCGAAATCTTTTTAATATAAGCAACGATAACGGAAAATTGATTTATCCCTCGAATTGATGAAGTGGATTTTAATTCACGCATCTAAATCACTTTGCAGAAACTGATCTATTCACTTTATCTATGAGATTAAATATAAACTTTTATTGCAATTTGAGATTGTAAATAACCTTAAATTGCAACAAAAATTTATATTTAATGCGTATTTCAGTCGCATAAGATATTGTTATGAGTAAAAAAAATTTTAATTTGCGAAAGCGTAAACATTATGCAAGAAAAATATTCGGAACTTAATTAATAATCTATCATCAGAAAATAAAAATGTATGTGAAAATGATAGTGTGCATGTGTCTACAAAATCGATAGAAATTTGAAAATGTAACAGTGATTCTGATAAAATAACATTTGATATCTCAAGTGACTTGATCTTGCAAAATAATAATATGAACGATAGCAGCGATGAGGAAATGAATTCAGAAGATTTTGATTTGGCATCAATTAATAATGAAGGCAGTTTTCCAGAAGAAGTGGAGAACAACAAAGAATTGGAATTAGATGAAACAGAAGAGATTGAAATTTCACAGTTGCGTAAGTGAGCAATAGATTGCAAAGTGCTTCATGTACAAAGCCAAATATAAACAAATTATTAGGTATTTTTTGTTCAAGATTATTACCAAACTTGCCTAAGTCATCAAAGACTTTTTTGCGAACGTCATCTGCAAAATATTTGATCATGCCAAAGATTAATAATGGTGGCTCCGAAGAAGAGTTTTACAAACTCTATTTTATAAAAACAGGATTAATAGCATGCATTGATCTAAAAGTCCAAGAAGGAAATTATTTACCTACAAATAAATATGGTGTATCATTATTCAAATCTAGCGTAAAAATGTTTTGGCCGATTTTATGTAGAGTCTACTTTGATTGAGTCTACCAATGATTTTTAATCCAGTTGCAATATATGCTGGTAATTTCAAATCTAAAAATCTTATCAGACTTTTTACATCAGTTCGTTTTAGAAATAAATAAATTGCAAGTGAAGGATTGCGTAATATGTGACAAACACTTCCCAGATAAAAACATAAAATTTTATTTGTGTCACATTTGCACGATCTTTCCTGAAGTGTACACAAGGCCATTCAGAATTTAGTGCATGCGAGCGATGTGATATGTGAGAAGAAAAAGGTAATAAAGTGATTTTATTTCATCGAATAATCATCAAGAAAGAACTGATGAATCGTTCCGGAACTTTTTTTTTCAACCCAGTCATCATACAAATGCTTCGGCTATGTATATTATTACTTATATATCCACCAATATATATGATTAAACAATTTATTCTGGATTTTATGCACCTTGGACCCTTGAGTGTCATGAGAAGATTATTAGGAGACTATTGGATTAGTAGTAATCTATTGTAAAAATAAAAATGAGCTAAAAACATAGGGTTAAATTATCTCGCAGGTTATAGTACATCAGATCAAGCATTCCTATAGATTTTCAGCGGAAATCTCATCATATTTTGTTGCAAAATGAAAAACCACGAAGTTGATGTTTGTTTTGTTGTATTGTGGACCGTTCTAGAAGATCTAATAAATGACGTACAGTATAAGCATTTTTATTGCTCCATACGGCATGCAGGCTTTTGTGTATGAGTAACGCCCCAGAATATCACGTATACGCAAAAGACTATTTGATCACATTTGTCAAAACAGCATCACATATTTATGGTCCAGAGATTGTTGTAATTAATGTACATAACCTATGTCCTGGCAGATCATGTAGCCAATATGAATTGTAGCTTATTTAATATAAGCACATTTAGTTTCGAAAATTATTTGGGACAAATTAAAAGGAAATTAAATTCAGTGTATCGCCTCTTAGCTCAATACTGTAATAGATTGCATAAAGAAAATTGCGTTGAAGAGAAATAAGCTAGCTATGCAATCTCCTAAATCTAAAATACTTAAAAAAATTAATAATTCAGTATTTCTTGTAGTAAAACATAAGGAAGCAATTTTGTCAACAAAATTTCCAAATAATATGATACGTTTAAATGACGGAAGAATACTTCAATTAGAAAAAAAAAATTTGGAAAGTGTGCTAGTGATGGCACAACTAAACATTGATCGCTAACTTAGAACTATTGCAGATTTGCTCAGTGGGTGTTGTCATGTTGTCGTAAGCTTCAAGTAGCTTGAGTGTTAGACTCCCGATTGCGCAGGCATCTTTGTGGCTCGTCTTACGATTTGAACGCCTGCACGATTTGAGTCTTCACGTCACTCCTCGAAATACCGCGATTTCCAATTAGAAAAAATTTTCTTATCTGACAAAAAAATATTGAAAAGCAAAATTATGAAAATAATAAAATCTGTTTATTCTTATCCCTCAAATTCGAATAATACGAAGATATGGGAAATACAATATAAACAAGTGCATCTTCAGTAACAGTACCAATAGGTAATGTTGAAGATAAAGTCGTGCCTTTACGTCTAAACTTTGACTCGCAGAAGTCGGAAAGAGCTTTTGTGTTAAGTCCAATACATCAATAAAAGTTTAAAATGTCGTAAAAGTACGACATTTAAACTTAAAAATGGCTGTGTATATTTTATTTTATTTTTCATTATATAATGATTATTTTTTTCGAATGACATTAAAATTTATAAATAGACAGAAAAGAAATAACCATACGTATTCATTTATTATTGATCGATTAATTGATATACGCTGTGATGCAATTCAGCGCAGTTTACCGCGAAGCTTCAAGAATCTTCTTTAACAGCACAAATTACGACATCCCAAAAAGGACACAAAAATTTTCAACATCAAACACCAAACGTCTCGTAACGAAAGCAAGTCATATCTTTAAAGTAAGCTGTTATAAAAGAATTATGCATTTGTTTAATGTAAGCTCGAACGCGAGACTTATAACCTAATATATTTTGCATTTAATATCGTATTTTATAAGATAATCAATTATTAAGATGATTTAACAATTGACTCAAATGTGCAATATTAACTTTCGATTTAAAGAGACGAGTTCTGACGGAGATGATTACGACTTCGTAGTAGTCGTTGAATTTGTATCTCGGGGACGGCCAGGGCAAAGAAAAATAGACCTCGTTCCATCAAAATGGATTGAATATGATAAGAAAAAAGAGAAACTCATGATTAATTTATGCCATCACCTTATGGAAAAGAAGATTTCCAATTAATAACAGATTTAGCTGATGCAGAAGATTGGGTCTCCTACAGCATTAAAGTGAAAACTAAAACAAGTAAGTAAACCAAAATATATACCATATTAATTTATATGCAGTTGTAACTTTAATCTTATTTTCAAATATAATTAATTAAATAGAAAAATCTTTAATTTTCAAAAAGCGTAGAAATTTTTATTTTCATTTTTTTTTTAATGTTGCTTCTTAGTACATTTAAACATTTTTTGGTTATACATTACATTAATCACAGTGCAAGTTTGATTACAGAAACTTATGCCGATGGGATAAGAAACTTAAAAAGTTGGAAGAGCAACTGTATGCATTCACCGAGAGTGCAGCTGATCCAATAACAGTGGCCGCTGCAATTGAAGAATCATTAAAAATCGAAAATTTGAAAAGAAAAGTAGACGATTTAAAAGAGATGATGACTGTGTCACAAATTCCGGACAAAGATTCCGCAGACGCAAAAAAAAAATGTGAAAACGTCTGTTTCGTAAAATAATTATTTTAAAAATGTGCATTACTCATCAAAACTACATATTAAAGCAGTTTTAAAATTTATCTTTTTGAGTCGATTACTATAGAGTAGTTTTTTTTTAAATTATCTATAGATTAATTAATGGTTTATGTATAAAGTTTAAACGTATACTCGAATTTTTAAACAACATCAATTCCTAAATTTACAAAATCTAAGCTCTACCATAGAAATTACTGTGAAATATATTTACACTATTTGGTACTATATACGTAACTGAATACAAGTTTTAAAATTGTAAATTCATACTTTTCTATTATTTTGAGTATAATTGGCATGTTTGTTTAAGATCACAAATATCTCAATCTCATAATACTGGAAAAGCCATTTTAAGGAAAAAATCATTTCTGGAAAAAAAAATGTCGTATTTCATCATAAGAAATTGTAAAATAATTAAAATATTGTCATAATTTTCATTTTATTTATATAATATAATTGTAATTTTTAAAATGTTATCTTTATTAATATGTAAAATTTTATGTAGCATCAAGTTTAATAGGTAATAGTACAAGTGCTACTTCTTCTGATCAATGTAATTAATGAGTTGCAAATAAAAATAATACACTTATAAATGTTACAAAAACTGTTTCGAACAAGTTATATAACAAGTTATATAACATAATATTATAATCAATAAGATAGGAAACAAGACCGTTTATATTAAATAACATTACAATCCGAAGCGCCACTACGGTCTAAGTATTAAGATGTTGAACTAATATATATATTATTCAAACGAATGAATTAATTTCAGAAATAATAATTACGTGTCGATATGGTTGTCGACATTAACGCAATTAATCTGAAATGTAATAATCCCCCTAAAATTCCCCAAATTAATCTTAAAGACTGTAATAAACTTATGGCGAAAAAATATTGCCTCGGCCGGAAACGAACCCGAGCGTTGAAATAATGCGTTACTCTCGATACATATCCGTTATTGCGAAAAATTATTGCTAAGGTCTCGGTAGTCTAAAGGCTCGGACGGAATGCAAGAGATCCGGGTTCGACTCCCGGCCGAGGCAATATTTTTTCGCAATAAGTTTATTACAGTCTTTAAGATTAATTTGGGGAATTTTAGGTGGATTATTACATTTCAGGTTAATTGCGTTAATGTCGACAACCATATCGACACGTAATTATTATTTCTGAAATTAATTCATTCGTTTGAATAATATATATATTAGTTCAACATCTTAATACTTAGACCGTAGTGGCGCTTCGGATTGTAATGTTATATAATATTATAATATAATATTTTAGAAACTTTGTCATACAACTGTATACTTACACATGAGTGTAATTAACAGTGTTGATGATTGCAATTATAATTCGAGTAAGCATGCAATGTATCAAAGTACTAATAAAGCAACATATCATTTCGAATTTTATTATGTATCATTTATTATAGAAATTATTAATGATTTTAATTATTATCGTCTTTTATATGTAAATAAGGTTGATCTAATTTCGCAATCGATTGCAAACGTCACTTTGGAAAGATGAAAAATTTATGTATAATAAAAGAAGCATTGTTGAAAGCGTCAAAGGAAGCATCAATCTTAGCAACGAAGTCACAAAAATCGTCAAAGATAATAATTGTAAGTAGAATGTGTAAGGAGACTTAATTTTTATGGAGACTTAATTTTTGCTATCACTTAAATTATATATATTATTGTTAAACTAATAATTTGTACTATATAGAAATCCAATTTATCATGCACAAATTTCAGGATATTGCCGTTGTTCTTAACGAAATTTTAAAGATTCAAATTGATATAAAACGTTTTCTTGAGACATCTGCCGTCATTAAGAAAGGAATTGCTTCGATTGGTAAATAATTTTCCGAAAAGTATGACGTTGAGTTCCCAATGCGTACACTAGAAGACTTAAATGTATTCCAAGATAAATTAAAGGCAAACAAAAAGTGTTGTCATGATTTTGTAAGTGCTTCATTAATTTTTTATTTAATTATTTGTCGTACATTATACTATCTTACCGACAGTCAATTACTAAGAGCGCTACCTATATAATAAAGAAAATAATGGCACGTGATTTGTCATTAAGGTGCACAGCACAAAAAAGGTGTAAAACTTAAAGATACTCTGATGTACATAGTTGGTAAGAAAATGTAATTTATCTATAATACATAATCTGTTGATCATTATAGAAACAACAGACTTTATGCGGTAATAATTTGTTTATATTTTCTAGACTCCCTCTTAATGATCTATGAGAAAGATGAGAAAGGCATCACATTTTCAAACACATACGTTCAGCTGTGGGAATTTGCTTGACTAATTCTAAAGATTGGGATGGGTTTAGAGCTCATCGATCAAATAAAACAAAGCTAGAATGTGAATAGTTCGAATTTGAATCGAATTGAATCGAAATGGATTTAATTCGATTCGTTTTCAAATCTGATTAAGCGGTTCAAATTCAATTCATACTATCACTTTATAATATTATTATTAACACTATATTACTATTACTATATTACTATTAGTGTTTGACTCTTAATTATCTGTTCCTGTTGCCTGTGCTTTTCATTGTATTTGGACCTTACTGCATTGTAACTTACGTTTAATTATATTGTCTACATTAAATGAACAAAATAAAAAGCAGATATATATTATATAAATATATACTATTTTTTATTAATACAAACTAGGTTACCCAATATTTGCCCTAGTCTAGATTGGTGTTTGTAACGAACTGTAAATTTTAGGTTGATTTTTGGTGCCTACTCTCTCCCTATATATACTTAAAACTCGGCTGAACGAATATCATGGCGCGTTACGCTCGACCTTGAACAATAGAGGAATAGATAGTAGACATCGATTCAAAAAACAGCCTGAACGTTCGATGGCTAAGGGGCTACATCATATCGTAGCCCAGGACCTAAACACTTTTTCTGTCTAGAGGCTATAAAAAATAAGTGTTACCATGTTATGTCGCCCCATGCTAGTTTTCCATTGCAGTGCCTAGAAAATTGGGAAAACTAGCCAGCCCCTGCCTAGCGCCAAATCGACATTTCCACTCGAAAATTACAGCGCAGATTCCTATTGGCTTAATTTTGTATATTTATTGTATTCACAATTTTGAATATTTACACGTTTTTTCTTAAATGTACATCATAAACAATGAAATAAATAGAGGGAAAATAATTGAATCCAATAATTGAAACAAGGTCTATCGAAACAGTAAGTCCCTTTTTTCCTTTTTATTATCCGCAAACTTTTAGTAATGTAATTGCCAACGTAATGCCACGATCAAGGAATAACCGCCCGTTCAGAGATTGGTTCCGGAGTCGGCTTTACTTAGAAGCGCGTAGATTGTTGGACGAGGCGTACGCGGAATTTCAACGACACGCGAATTCAGAAAATTCGACAATCCTGCTGACAACGTCCGTCATTCAACATCCTGACCGCCGGCCTCCCCTCCAATTCGGCCGTTGCCTATAGTAGTGACTTCCCGATCACCTTCCCGTTCACTCTCTTCATCTTTCCGCGTACCTTCTACCTCATTCCGGAACCTGCTTCCTCCGCGTTGTGCTTTAACCTTACGAATTTTCCTTGATACCCCTCCGCTAACCCAATTCATCCGTCGTCAATCCCATTTTCCTTCAGAAACTCCTTCTCCGATTAACTCCACGGACAGCATGGAGTTCCCAGAAGAAATTCCTCCTCCACCACCGAGATCCTATTTCCACCTTAAGGCGATGCTGGAGCGAAGGCCGAAGTTGATCAAGGTCGATATTACAGGTTTTCATTTCCAATGTATAAGCTGCTTACGCCCTCTGAAGTTAATATGATCATGCAGGAAATTCGATCGATTAATTATCGATATTTTTATTCCGTTTCCTACATTACCATCTTAACAGGGACGTGTATTAGGGTCGGTTCCACAATGTAAGATTTATTTTGGAAAATTTTCCAATTTTAGAATTGAAAAAAAATAAACATAATTGAAGTTAATCTTATATTTGTAGAATCGGACCTTAGAAATTTAGTTGCATTATACACATATTTAGTTGTATTATATACACATGCAATGTAGGCCGTGTTCTAATATATATCACCAGTACTAAAAGTCTGTAATATACATAAAATACAGATTTTTAATTAATAGATATATCGATACGAAAC